ACCAAATTAACCGATATAACCGAACCATAATAATCGAACCGTTTAAAAAACCATTGGTTCGGTTTCTAATTTTTGTTAACCGGTAACAAACGGTTTGGTTATGGTTTTATAGGTTAACCGAACCATTATTAACCGAACCGCTAAATGTATATTTTAATGCATAAAAATTATGGATTATATATAAAATAATATAGTCAAACTTATTTAAAACCCATTAAATTTCCAATCATGCATTGAGTTATATTATTGATTAATGTTGTAATTCCTAATCGGCTAATTCTATTATTTATAAACATTATTCACAATTCGTTTAATCTTCACCTCATAATCCTAATCGGAGGTTTCTCACACGTTAATCCTAATCAAGGATTGTTTTAACTTTATAGTTTTACTTGAATGATTTTTTTTTTAATTTATAATCAAAACTTCTAGGTAAGTTAAGTTTTTAGTTCTTCTTCACTTTATGATATATTAAGAATGTATTTTTTCTAAAAAAAATTGCTTTTTATTTACTGTTTTTACTTCACATTGAATGTATATGAGTGATTGTTTTTTTTATCCAGATAACACATAATATAAATGTTTAACTATTTTGTTTTATACTTTTTGATTTAATCATATTGAACATGTATGAATGTTTGGCTTTATTTTAATGTTAATATCAATTATCAATATACGAAGTTATTAATGTTAATTTTTTTTTAATTTGATATACTTTTTATTTAATGTTTTTTATTTTGAATGTGACTATGTGTTATCTCACTCTGAGTATCAAATGTACACATTTTATTCTATTACTATAAGCTAGGTTACAAATATTGGTGTCGAAGACTTTTTGTATTCTCTTTTCATTTTTTATGCCCCTATATTTTCGCCACTTATATTATTTTGAATATTATGGTTAACCAATATTAACCATTAACCAAAACTGTTAATCGATAAAAACCATTAACGATAACCAGTATTAACCATACCCAATGGCTACCAAAATGCATTAACCAGTTATAATGGTTATGGTTCGGTTTTGACCAATAATCGAACCAAACCGCCCCATACACACCCCTAATATTTTCCCAACCCACATGTAATGAACATGTTCACCACCCAAATAAAACAACACCACCAAAAATGATCACCATTTTCTTTTGTAATTATAGCAACAAAGCAAACCTAAAAATATATTTTCATGGATGAATTCAATCACAGACGAAAGCAAAGGACCCAGAGATAAAATTAAACATAGAAATCAGACATAAAAATATGTTTCTCATTTCCATTGTGAAAGCCAAGAACAAATTTTTATCACTAAATCAAAGACAAAAATAGAACAAAAGGGATTTTTTGAACTAAGCCATATCTTCCCTGTAACAATGGATAACTTGCAAAGACATTACATTGTTCATAACTCATATTACCTAAATCTCTAAAGCCCATGAATGATTGAAACCAGGCTTAAATCTTTTTCGGAAAATAAAAAACCAACTCCACAAATCCTTCACATCTTTATCTTTTCGGTGCCTGGTGAGTGGTGAGAGAACAAAATAGAGAATATGTAGTGGAGGAATGTGGAGGTGCAAACGTTGGTGGCGCATCATCATCATATGGTGGTTGTATTGATGTACTGGTGTAGGAATCGAACCCACATGTCTTTGAGAACAAATCTAAAAATCGGATCCAAACGTAAGGGAAGAAGGAAAGATTTGTGTGTCTGATTGTGCGTCTTTGTGTGGATCTTCTTTAAGCATCGAGTATGCTGAGAAAATTGGATTACGATTCTTAAGAAGAAGAAGAAGGAGGGTTGAGATAGTGATAGAGAAAAGGGGTGGGGTTTGTGTGTGGCCACTTTTTTATATTTAATAATAATAAAATAATTAAAGAAAAACAATGAAGAGTCTTTGGAGGACCAAATCCACAAGTAATTAAAAAAGAGACAGAATTTACAATTTTGAAACAATATGGATGCAACATAAAATAGCAAAGGATAAGGACCATGTTTGTAGTTTTTTCTTTTACGTTCATGTTACATATTATACCCGCTTGTGTTTAATTATTTGTTTTATATCCTAGCCATTTTCTTTTATTTGTTTGATTTATCAAAAAAATATAGAGAAAACAAAAAGTTGCATCATTAAAAAGATTTAGATTATACGATTCAACATAGAATATCATTAATATTAAATTTATATTGAAATTATATATATATATATATATATATATATATATATATATATATATATATATATATAGGGTTTTTCCTATCCCAAACCATTGTGGTTGGTTTTCATTTATTTAATACTTCATCTTTAATCTTCTTGCAGTGGCAGCCATCTCAACAAGAGCTGCATACCGCTGATCAAAGTGCTCCACCATAGCGGTCTAGACCCAAATATCTCTGACAACTGTGCTCGGAACAGTGTAGCAACCGAATCCTGGCATCAAACTCATCCAGTCTCATCTGACCAATAGTCTCAGGCACTGCTGGTCCTTCCTGACCGCCCTCTCTTGAACCTGACCCAGATCCAGTTACAAATCTCCACGTAACCAAGATGTTAAAAATATATCAGGAATATATCAGACATCTCATATAATAATAGGGAAGCAACTCCCAACAAAGCCCTAGGGATTGTGACTTCTTTGATACACATATGGGTCATGTGTTTGCAGTAGTACGGGCCCATACTACCTTCCACATCTACCCATATTTGTATCAAGTATCACTACAACGCCCTAACAATATACATAAATATAGGCGAGCGCTCAATCCTTACTCCTGGAGGAAGGGTAAATATCTCATAACTGACTGACTGATCCTACACAACTCATCCATGAAACCCTGCAACACTCATGCATGCTAATCATACATAATGTTGGACCCTATAGACTTTCGAATATATTTGATCCTACCTTATGCCCTTCATCAAACAAGAACAAGAAATAAGGTCAAACCAAACATTCCCATGCTATAAGATCTTAATTATTTACAACTATGATACATACACTAAGCAATTACAGTAATGATATCAATTTCATATATGGAAAACCCTAGGCTATCAGACATAATATAATCAGGCATTTCTATCATGCAATTTCTGAAGATCTCTAGCCTATCACTAGCATGTTGTTCTAACATATCATAATATTAAATATTCGTATGGTATTTTAGGGTTTACTTACTGGCTCTGGCTGATCGTACATTGTGCATCCTCCTTTAGTATTTTGAAAACAATTTGAAAATCATTTAAAAAAATCTTTCCTTGGTTTGAGACTGGATTCACACGAGTGTTCCTCCAATTCACTCAAACCAAGACTCTGATACCAACTTGTAACATCTATAAATTTAAAGCCAATTTAAAACTTTTTCAAACATTCAAAAACCAATAATTGTTACAAAATGTTTTCAAAATACTTTCATATTAGAGTATCCGAGAAATAAAGTCATAAAAATGTGAAGAGGTGCACGCTCACGCCTTCGCCTTCACTCAATCATCCAAAGTATCTGAAACAAAATCCAAAATTGTAAGCCCGAAGCTTAGTGAGTTCCCCCAAAATATCAACGACATACAATCATAGTCATATCATAGCAAGTAAACAAACAGCATGCATTATGAGCCATCAATGATGAATTCGACACCACCAAGGAGGAGGGTCCCTAGAACTTCCAATTTTGTCGACCACCGAAAAGGGACAAAGCGATAAAAGGGGCGTCTTCAAACGAAAAATTAACCAACGAGGACGTACTAGCGGACAAAATAGACATAAGTCTTAGTTTTTAAGGAAAAAAAATAGAATCAATGGAGGAAGCTCGTCAGCAAAAAAATGGCACTCGCTGATGTTCAAATTTTAAACACGATGCCGCAACCGAATCTCGCACCAGAAAATTTAAGCGCATTTTTAAAAATTCAACAAGTTCTCGAAAAGTATTGCAACTAGATTTTATGCTTTTATGTTTTTTTAGTAAAATAGGTTTAATTTTCTATGTTTTTTTTTAGTAATTTAGGTATAACTTTCTATTTTTTTAGTAATTTAGCTTTAGTTTTCTATTATTTAGGTTTTCTATGTTTTTTAATTAATTTAATGTGGTTTCAACTAATGTAAAACATTTTATTATGTTTTAAATTATGTTTTTTATTTAATTTAATCATAAAAAAATTAATAAATAAAAAATAAATATTATAGAGTTGTAACCATTCCAATATCTAGTGAGTTGGTGGTGGTAGGTGGTGGTCAGCACTTTTCTAGTGGTTTGGTTGCGACTACTTCTCACAACCTTACGGTTCTTAGGCTGTCCGGAGTGGACATAGAAGAAGACTCGTGAAGCTGACATGTCCAACCAATGGACGCGTAAACACCTTCCTAATAGTCGGTGGCTTGGATGTGGAGTGACTTAGAGTGGTTGTGAAGACGGTGGAAGACGATCAATTTGATTGGTTTCATTTTCCTTCCCTCACATTTCTCTCTCTCTCTCTTTGCTTCTTCATAGTCTAACCACGAGTGAATATTATTTCCACAACTCAATGGATTAATTGTGAAATGGTTAAATAGGTACATGACCTCCTCTTCACTAATAACTCACTCGTGATCATTCCGGACAACCTTAGGAAGAAGAAGAAGGGTTGAGACAACGATAGAGAGAGAATGGGTGGGATGGGGTAGGATAGGGTTTGTTTGTGGCAAACTTTTTTTATATTTAATAGTAATAAAATACTTAAAGAAAAATAATAAAACATAAATATAGTAAGGTAGTATTTTTTTAGTTTTAGCACCAATCCACAACCAATTAAAATAAACGCCATGGACCCCAACAACATAAAATAACAAACGATAAGGACATGTTTGCAATTTTTTCTTTTACTTTCTTGTTGCATATTATTACCCTCTTAAGTTAAATTATTTGTTTTATATCCTAGCCATTTTCTTTTATTTGTTTAATATATCAAAAAATATAGAGAAAAGAAAAAGTTACATCATTAAAAAGATTTTGTTGATACGATTCAACATAGAATAATATTGAATATCGTTAATATTAAATTCATATTGAAATTTAAAATATATTTTAGAAAAAAAATTAATTTAATTTAATTTTTTTTTTGGGTTTTTCCTATCCCAAACCATGAATTGTCGTTGGTTTTAATTTATTTAATACTACATCTTTAACCTTTTTTGACTAAATAAAATTTGTTACTATGTATCATCTTTATAAATATAAAAATATAATTTCAAATATATATAAACTCATAGAAGAAGAGACGAAGGCAGCCACACCACTTCATTTTCTCAAAATGTTGAGTTTCACCAAAAGCGAAACAATGGCTCCTTTGGTGTATGCTTCCACTTTGATAATGCTAGTGTTCTTTCTCATCAAACTCTACTACTTTACTCGACCTTCAACCAAGAGAAACCTACCACCTTCACCACCAAAACTACCGGTGATCGGTAACCTCCATCAGATCAGCCCACTCCTCCATCGCTCCCTCCATTCGTTATCCCAACTCCACGGTGGTCCACTCATGCTCATCCACATGGGCTGCATCCCAACCCTGGTGGTATCATCAGCAAAAGCAGCCTCCGAGATAATGAAAACCCAAGATCTCATATTTGCGAACAGACCCGACGTGAAAATGTGGCGGAAACTGCTCTGCGACCTGAAAGAAGTCTCGGTAGCACCTTATGGCGAGTACTGGAGGCAAGTCAAGAGCATAATGGTTCTCCATTTCTTGAGCAACAAAAGGGTGGAATCTAGTAGTGAAGTGAGGGATGAAGAGATCGCCTTTGCTGTTAATAAAATCAAGAAATCTGGTAACCAGGTGGTGGATTTGAGTGATATGTTTGTGACGCTCACGAATGATGTCGTGTGTAGGTTGACGTTTGGAAGGAAGTATAGCGAGGGAGAGAGCGGGAGAAAGTTTAAGAATATGCTGAGGGAGTTTTTCGAGATATTGGGAGGTCTTAATTTGGAGGATTTTATTCCCCAGCTTGCATGGGTGGATCGATTGAGAGGACTGAATGCTAAAGTCGAGAGGGTGGCGAGAGAGGTGGATGAGTTCTTGGACGGTGTGGTGGAGCAACGGCTGAAAAAAGGGTCGGCGGCTGGTGGTGGTGGTGAAGACTTCGTTGATATACTACTTAGGATTCAGAAGGATGATAGCATAGGCGTTACTATCGACAGACTTGCAATTAAAGCACTCCTATTGGTAACTCTCTTTCCTCTATCTTGATCACTTTAATATTTTGATCGATGATATTTCTTCTTTATAAAAATAAAAAAAAAAAAAATAATAAAAAAAAAAGACAGATTAAGTATATCAAGTAAGCAAGTTGACTAATTGGATCGCCTTTCTTTCAATAAGCAATCGGAGATGATTCAATCTAAAAGTAAAACATTCATCTGAAAACATACGTGCCTTAGAATTAGTAGTAGATCCAGAAATTCTGTCTATAAGGTATAAATGATTAATGGTTAAAATAACCGTTACTTTTTCAATTCAATTCAAAGAACAAATCCACGTGTGGTAAAACAAAAGATTCATCATACAAAGCTGGTCCATATATATGACTTACTGCAAAAATATCATAAAAAATGTTAAATAATTTATTTAAGATGGATATAGATTATAGACAGACGCATAGTTGTTGTGTATTTTATATATAGCTCGTGCATCTCATGGATTTCGTCTTTATCAAGATGCCTCCATGTAGCACGATTCACGGTTTCAGGACTAGTATGTATATTTAAATATATCCAGTACCGACCAATACTTAAATCGGTTAGTATTCATATTCATTCAAAAATAATAGTAAAATATAAGCATTATTAAATATACAGAATGACTATGTTACATTTTAATTCATGGTAACAAATTAAGCTTTGATATATCTTATCTAGGATGCATATACCGCTGGAACAGATACAACAGCAACAGTATTAGAATGGACATTTACAGAACTTCTAAAACATCCAAAGATTCTCAAGAAACTTCAGGATGAAGTAAGGATGGTTCTTAAAGGGAAGTCAAAGATAAACCATGATGATATCGACAACATGAAGTACTTAAAAGCCGTGTTTAAAGAAACTCTTCGGCTTCATCCTCCAATCCCAACCTTAATTCCTCGGGTTGCGAGCCAAGATGTGAAAGTCATGGGCTACGATGTCATGAAAGGAACTAGGGTAATCATTAATGCATGGGCCATTGCAAGAGACCCTAAAGTGTGGGATGAACCGGATGAGTTTAAACCTGAGAGATTTTTGGAGTGTTCAATTGATTACAAAGGTCTTGACTTTGATTTGATCCCATTTGGGGCTGGAAGGAGGGGGTGTCCTGGGATTGCATTTGCAATGACTACGAATGAGAATGTGTTGGCCAATCTTTTGCTCAAGTTTGACTGGGAGTTACCCAATGGGAAGGAAGAAGATCTAGATATGACTGAACGACCTGGCCTTACTATTCGTAAGAATACTCCTCTTTTGGCTGTAGCAACACCTTTCACTTCATAACGTGTATATGTCTAGTGTCGCTATGCATTAATTTCTGTTTTAGGTCGAGTAGCTACGGGTTAACTATGTTTATGTATGCGGTGTATGTTTGTATTTTTACATATATATCTTTGCTGCATAAGGTAAGACAACAATGATTGTATCTAATACAGTTTGATGGTAAAAATGATATCAAATTAGTCAAATTGCAGCGGCATAATGGTATATATATTTGGATATCTAGTCTACCAAATTTTTAGTAAGGTGACATTAAAACTATGTGAACCATTTATGGACGCTTGGGGTGCACACCGGATGTGGATACTATGGAAAACAAGATGTGAATTGGTGTTAGGAGCACACGATATTCACACTCCCAGATTATTGATAGGGTTAAATCTATTGTATTCAATTGGATTAGGTATAGAAGAGTAGAATGTCATCTCAAATGGGACAACTGGTGTGTTTGCCCTTTAAATTGTATGTAATACAAACTCAAATGTAGTCTTCCTTTTGGATCTGCCTAGCATCTTGCTAGGTAGTGCTTAGTCAATAAAATTTGCCGGTTCTAAAAATAAAAAAAAAATAAAAAAAAAAAGTTGTAATTACATTAACTAATGCACCAAACTTTATGAGGGCATACTAAAATATAATTTTTTTTGTAAAAAAAAAAAATCATTTTAAAAGGAAGGTGAATGTGATTTCGCCACTTCAAAAATCAATTTATCTAAATAAAATATATAAAATATTATGTTTTATTAACTTGTACTTACCGTAACTACAAATATAAAGCTGTGCCTTATGGTTGACCATAAACTCCATATTTATTGAATCTTTCTAGACGATATCTAACAAGAATGGAAGGAGCGAAGGACTTCATCTCTCTCAACCCATTGGTAACTTCAGTGCTATATCAACTTTTTCCTCCTCTTTTAGTTTCATATTTCCTATCTCCAACATATGAAAACTTATATATCTCTTCTCTTTCATCCCATTCAATTTTTTACTTTAAGCATAATATAAACTAGTTAAAATCAAAAAGATTCACAAAATATTATTTTGATACAAGTCTTTATGTATGTAATACAACTAAAGATGGTAGACAGATGAATGAGAATAAGTGTTCATAGTTTATATAGTCCATATGTGGTTGGTGGTACCCCTCCTATATATCACAACCTCCATAGGAGGGGACAATGTTGTCTTTGATACAACCACCAACCCCACACTAAAATCCGTATGAATGGGTTGAGTTTAATCCAACTAGATATTTGATCACATTCAACTATTCCGTTAAACTATGAATGTAGATGTTTTGATCAAATTCAAGTTATAGCATAAATCCATCCAATGTGAGCATAAATTTACCTAAGATTAAAACATGAGACAACAAATAAACAAAACTTGAATATTAGTAGATGAATCAAACAATTCAAAGCCTGTCATGGAAAATTTGCCGTGCCATTTCGGATTTATTTCATGTGAAATATTAAACGGGTTGAAAAAATTTGAACCTAACCTTAATAGTGTATTTGTCTTGTCATTTCGTGTCATGTCAATTTTTTACTTAAACAACTAAAATATTTTATCAAAACTCGTTTATTTTGTGTCGAATTTGTGTCAGTTGGCGGGTTTATGGTTTAGACATTATGAATGTGTATTTTTGTGTCAACTTGAAAGAGTTTGACTTAAACCTTACCCACTTAATTTGTGTGAAGGATAGTGACAATCACTTTATCTAAACTCGTTCATTTCTTGTAGGTTAGCTTATCATGTTGGGTTTTGCCAACTATACATGGAAGAACGTAATGAACTTCAATTCGTTGCATTGGCCAATTATCAATACAAAATATGAAAATAAAGGAATCTTCTCTAATAAATGAAAGTTTTTTTTTGCTACTTGTCACACTCCTATTCATTTTGCCACATGTCATTTTGTGATTATTTTGAATTAATTTTTGTTCTATATGTAATTTTGTTGTTTTCCTATTTTATTAAATTCCATATAGTATTTAAATTTAATAATAAATGTATATCAATTTTATTAATGGATTTTCCTTATAATTTCAAAATTTTAAAATAAAATATCATTAATTTACTTTGATTATTTTATCTAAATGATTTGATTAAATTTAAAAGAGAAAAAAAAAACATTTTAATTTTAGTAATTCAATATTTTTTTTCATTTTTCTTATAAATTCAAAATTTTCAAATGTTTATACATATTTAATTGTTTTAAATACACCTATATAATATATGAGGTTCACACCTAATCAAGTGTAATTGACAAATTCCATAATCCTAGAAATATTTCAATCATACCATGAAACGTTAAAAGGATAAGATATCATTGTCTTTTATGCATTTAAGAATATCCTCATGTGTAGAAAAATAACAAAGGAAGTAGCAAAGTTCAATAAGGCCAACCTTTGGTTCACATGGTTATGAACAAGGAAAATAATTCTAACAAATAAGGAAGTGGCATACATATATAAATATGACAGTTATGACAAAACCAACAAAAATATCAAAACGTTTGGTATGATAGTGATGTCAAGAAGTGGGTCACTTTAAGCATGAATTTTGGTGTAAGTTAAACAATAATAGTAACTAGTAAACGCGTCCGTGCTTCGCAACAGGGTTGATGTTTCTTTATATATTTGTATACGTGCTTACATGTTGATAGTTTAGAATAGAAACTTAATTTTGTTAATTTATTTACTATGGCATTCTTCCCTTCAAGCTTTATGATACACATGTAAATCTTGCCAAAAGGCAATTCTTTATAGATCTTCCCAGTCAATCATGAAGTAGTTTCTGTAATTTTTGAGGTAGAAACGATATCTGAGAACACATTCCACTTAAAAATATAACATACCTTTGTGAAGACACAATTAGCCTGTACTTTGCTTCTTAACATGTGGCTTGTGATTACAATTTTCTTCAAGTTCCCTTTGTTTCTCCTTAACTTTAAAATGTCAACCAGCAATCTAAAACAACAAAGCAATTAAATTTTGTAAAGGGCACAAATACACCAATACAATTACCTACATATAAGATACGCACACGCAGATACAGACACATACACACAGAGATACATAACATACGATTAACAGTTGAAGTTCTTGTAATATTGTGTAAAAAGAAGGTCAACAATTGAATAACGTATATATAACGCTTGGTTTCTGGTATGTATTTAAACTTACAATTTGTTCATTTTTATAGAGCAGCTCGATGAGTCTAAGGCCCCAGACTCATCGAGTAGAGATTTTATGGACCGCGGATTTCAAGAACCCAACTCAACGAGTTGGGAGACCTCAACTTGATGAGTTGGCTGGGTAAAATGAAACCCTAATTATGGGGTTTTGAACCCTATTTAAGCACCTTAACCCTAACATGTTGGCCTTATTCCCAGCCTCTGCATTCCAAAACCCTAATCTCGAAATCCTAAGGCATTTGTGAGAGTTTGTGTAACGCCCGCAAATCCGGGCTAGTTAATTTAGAGGCAATAGGGGTCGAAAACGACTTTTAGACAAAATATTATTAAGAATAAATAATCTTAACCAATTTGTAGAATATGCCACAAGGTTTCCGTACGTATAAAGAACGCCAAAATCCGAGTTATAACGAAGAAGTTATGGCCCGATGAAGTTTCGCGACGGAACCGACACGGCACCGGGAAGCGTAAATAGTGAATTTACGATGGAGGACTTTTTAGCCTTAGTGATCTAAACGAAAGTCGTAGAATATGTTAAACCGAGAAAATCCATAAAAAGAACGCCCAAATCTGACATCGTATGAAGAAGTTATGATTTTTCTAAGATTCGGCTTAGTAGTGCACGATCCGAAACTCGAATTTTAGTTTGAGCAGTTTTTGGCTTATGCGACCTAAATGAGAGTTGAAGATCTCATTAATAGGAACTCAACGGTAAAAAGACAGACGAAAACGGAGTCTGTATGAAGGAGTTATGAATTCTTCACGGTTATTTAACAGTCTAAACGTCTCCTACTGTTAAATTTGAGATCGATCGAGAATTAGCCCACAGAGTCTAAACAAAAGTTGTAGATCTTGATTTTACCTACGCGTGGATATAAAGAACGTCAAAAACGAAGCTCGTATGCGAAAGTTATGATTTTTCTAATTTTGAAGGCTAATACGCGATAGGGAGTGACATGGCACCACCAGTATTGGACACGTGGCACCACCAGAAGGTTGCCACATGCACCAACTTGGCGAGTCATGACTCAGACTCGGCGAGTCCATCAGGAATTCAGCCTATAAATAAAGGTGTCGGGTTCCCTCATTTCCTCACCCCTCAACCCTCTTCTTTCTCTCTTTATACTCTCTCTCTAAGCTCCCTAACCACCCTAAAGCATAGGTAAACCCCCTAGCACCCGAAGGAAGCCCTGAGGCTCCCGGAGTCCCAAGAAAAAGGGTCTTTCGGCTCGGAAACGCTGCTCCCGATTTTCGAGAAAACCCGCTGTAAGTGAGCTACCCCTACCCTATCTTTAGCGTAGCTTATGTTTCGATATAGTAATGTTATTAGGTCTTTAAAATAATTATTTGGGATATTATTATGAGTTATATTGAGTGCTATTTAACGCTTATATAATAATAATAATAGTTGAACTATTAATTTGTCGCGGTTACCGTTAGAGTAAACCCTAGTGGTGTTGATACTAGGTTTTATCGAAGGAAAGTTGTTTTGAGAGTATCGAAGTGCTGTCCGAGTGCCGACTCACCACCTAATCAAGTGAGTGCATAGTTACCTTCATCTTACACATAGATATGAAGTATTTTACATAATTTACGTGCTATATGTGTATATTATCTGAATACTTGTTGTCTATGCTGGATGAATGATTTATACATGTTTTAATGATTTAAACTGTATATTTATTTTATATCTACAATATGTTGGGATAAAACATGGGTAGATGAAATAGTTGGTGAGTGATCAAATAAAATAATGAGAGATAGGTGATGATAGGAAGGTGATGATAATTAGGTGAGGATAGATAGGTGATTATGAATCGGTGGTGTAGGATACTACAACCTTGTCCGACAATTTGGAGATGTAGTCATCTACCAGAGTATAGATGGCGACCACAGACTATTATAGACAACCCCGTGGAAACACCAGCAGGCTCATAACCTGTAGGTGATGAATTACGAGTTCAGGCGATGTTGTAACTACGTATTCATGCGATGATAGTCTAACCCTTATTATGAAGTACGAGTCCAGGCGATGTTGTGGCTACGTATTCATGCGATGATAGTCTAACCCTTATTATGAATTACGAGTCCAGACGATGTTGTGGCTACGTATTCATGCGATGATAGACTAACCCTTATCATGATTTACAAGTCCATGCGATGTTGTGGTTGCGTAATCATGTGATGATACCCTAACCCTTGCTAGACACATATTGAGGGAGTAATCCCCGAATTAGTATTGTCTATGCAATGTAGGCGATGATCCTTATGTAGAGTTCGTAGGAACAATCACATAAGGAAATACGATGTAAGGAGATGAGAAGTAAATATGATATAGGAGATGACCCT